CCTGGTCGATAGATGAAGACGTTCGGTGTTGGGAGCCGATCTTGAGATAAAGACAACGGTGCTGAGGAGGCCATTCATGATATGAGGTTGACGGCTTAGAGAGTCAATCGGTCCAAATATGAAGATATGGAATTGAGGAGCCGATCATCATATAAAGGCGATGGTCGCCATCCGGGAAATGAATGCCAAGCCCAATCACAAGATCAAGGCATTTAACACTAAGGAGCTGGTCTTGAAATAGAAAATCAATTCGTATCCGAGGAGCCAGTCGTGATATGGGGACGTCGGCACTAAGAAATCGGTCCAAAATATGAAGATGAGGTGATGAGAGCTCATCGTGACATGAAGAGGACAACATTGAGAGGAGGATCCAAACACTCCAATAAGTGCTTCTGCTCTTTGAAGGAACAGAAACAATTTTATGAAGCATATCCAAACACCCCCTAAGGATGTTTTTACTTGGATTGTTTTCAATCCCCAACCAGATCAGACTTAAACAAACCAGATTAGACCAGACTTAAACAGACTAGACCAGACTTGACTTGCGTAGTTATAAATTACACAGAAACCAGACGTTTACCATAACAGATCAGACCAATTCAAACCAAACTAAACTTATACAGACCAGATCCGATCAGACAAGACATAAACAACCAAACCGAACCAAACAGAAACAAACAACAAATTAAAGTCGTTCTCGTATGCTTTCTCGCATGATGACCTCGGTCAACAATAGAGTCCTTCTCACCATCTGCTTCGTCTTTCAAGCTCTCCTGTTGGCCACGGTCACTCATATGCCCTGAGATTTCCGAAAAGTTCAAATCTCCAAATCACCCAAACTCCTAAACGGTTAAAGTGCCAAACCCTTTGAAAATTGAGGTCGACGGAGGAGGCGGCCGAACTCCAAAAATCACCAGACTCCAAGCGAGCAAATAAGCAGCCGGCCAAGATTCCAACTCTCCAAGAGGTAAGTGGTTAACCTATTGCCCTGTTTGCCCATGTTTATAAGCTTCATGAGATTCCCTTCAGTTTCAAGATCTCTTTCGCCTCTTTTCCAGGATATTCCTACCATTCTCCGCAGTGTCATATTTTTCAATTGGCGATGTCAAACACTGTTCCCATTCCAAGCGGCATGTATAAGTTAGGCTTCATCGGAGCAGGAAAGTTGGCAGAAAGCATTGCGAGAGGGGTAGTCAAATCAGGCATATTGCCGCCTTCTCGTATTCGCACTGCCCATTGCGGCTCCGCTCGCCGCACTGCCTTTGAATCATTTGGTGTCACCGTCTACGACCACAACAAGCAGGTTTGGTTTCTGCTTCTTGTTTTTTTTTTGGACAAAGATACGATCTTTTGGCTAATTCTTGGTTCCTCTCATGTTGGGCTGTTTGGTTCTTCAAAAGATTGCTTCTTGTCTCCAATTAAAAGTATATAGTTTTTGGATTAGCCCAATAGTTCCCAACTTCCCAACAATTGATGATATATTTTCATTGTATATGAAGGATAGGTTGTTGAAGATAGTGATGTGATCATATTCTCTGTGAAGCCTCAAGTTGGTAGGCTTCCTATTCTCGTCATTAGTGGTAGTATTAATTTATATCAGTAACTAAGAAACTGTTCTTAGCTGATAATCTGTTAGAACTTAGAACCACAGAATTTTACATCAAAGTAGTAATTTTTGCACCTTGTATAGCCTTTAATCTCTTTGCAGGTTATGTGGTTCCACTTCTTCTTACAGCTAGAATGAACCCAACAACCTTAAGCAACCTTCATGATTTTTTGCTCAATAGTATCCTTGAAAAAAATGAAAATGAATGTGCATATGTTTGTCGGAAGAAATCAGAATTACTGACATCTTAATTGTGCACACAACATATATTTTTCCATGTAGCACTTCCTTTGCTTTTCATGATACCCCATACCTTCCTTGTGCACAGTTAAAGACGTGATATTAGAACTGAAGCCCGTTTTTACTGAGAAACAACTTCTGGTGTCAGTTGCTGCAGGTGTCAAATTGAAAGACTTGCAGGTTTGTGTAGTAGTGTAGCTCACTTCTTGTCCATATAATCAGTTCTAATAATCATTTGTAAATCAAGCTGTGAGGCCTCTCTTTGCTCCATTGTGCTTGATGATTTAATTATCAATACCCCCCTTATCGACTTCACTTTTTGGTAGTTGATCATGTCATAATAGCTTCTTCATGTTTTATTGGTTTACTTGGCTTTTTTTCTTGGTTGAAGAGTCAGAGCGTAGTCTCCACTCCTTTTAGAACATAGACACACAGTCACTTAGATGTTGTTTGAGAATATTGGTATCTTAAGACTACTGAGAAGTTAATGCTACTTCGGCTATGCAATCTCCCTAAACATTACCTGGTTCAGTAAATAGACTACCTTGTGTTTCCATGGTGTAAGAAGAATAGTCTGCTGTAGCAATGTAATAATTATTCCTAATATGTGTTTCCTTAGTAATATCTTCTCACACATGCTAGATTATTCAAAAGGTTAGGGCTCTTAAATCTTAATTCAGCCTGTTCCTTTGATTCCTACATATGAAGATGGTATTTCAATAATTAACACTCATCAAAAGGAAAAAAACATTGCATGAAGATGATATGACTTCCTCAAACCATATGATATAGTTCCCTATTATCCTTTGTGTGCATATATTAAGATGATTTCCTCAATTAATTATGCTGTTAATGTTCTCCTGATACTTCTAATATTTAATCGATTACCTGAAGCAGTTGGTTGTTTTGCAAGGAATGGGCAGGTAATAGTAGATTTATTAGGGTGATGCCAAACACTCCGGCAGCTGTTGGCGAGGCAGCTTCTGGTATGTTTTACATTTTCTGCTAGGTCCATTTAGAGGCTTGAAGTGACACACATATGGTGATCCTTAACGTGTTTTGGCAAGAACATAAGACTTGTCTAATAGATTTTTTACCACGAAATCGTGTTACTTTCTTCTTTTTCGGGTTGGAATGGGTAAAATGATTATCAAACTTTCTCACGAGTCATATATGCTATTCATTTGCTTACATTCGTTTTACCACAACTACTACCACCTTCTTATGTGGGAAGTGCATCATTTTTAAATAAAATGTCTTAACATAGTGATTAGCATGGGGAGTGGGGCTTTAAAAGAAGATGGAGAACTGATCTCATTGCTGTTTGGAGCTATTGGGAAAGTGTGGAAAGCTGATGAGAAAGTGTTTGATGCAGTCACTGGTCTAAGGTATATGTCGCTCCTTTGACTTATCAATTAGTCTTTACAAGGGAAACTACTGTCCAAGGATTCCTTGCATTTCTTTTAAATTATGGAGTTCCTTTGTTTATTTATAGGAATTTCTCAATATAGGATTAAAACATACACAAAGTTAAAAAATAGGACCAAGTATGTTTTATTCCCCAAATAGAACTTATTTAATCCTATCAAAAGAATAAGTTGATTTAAACTTCCCAAAATAGGAGTGAATGAATTCTATTTTAGGAATAAGGTTTAGTTCTAGTGGGAAAATAAGTTTAAATAATACCAACTATCATCAATAAATGAATAATAACACATCATTTGGAAACAATTTTTGATAATACTCGCTACTTCTTAAATATATACAACAACCAAGCCTTATCTAAAAGAATTTGGGGTCGGCTAACATGAATACATATATGATATTGGATCTAAAAAGGACAAAAAAGAAAACAAAGATGCGATAAGATAAAAAATGTAAGATAAGATAAAAAAGGTAAAATAAAAATTGAATATAAAAAAAATTGGAGCCACTTTTCAACTAGAAATCCAGTCATTTAAAACAGTAAAACTGATATCAAGCCACAAATAAAAGATATTTCAAAATGGGGTCACTTATTTGATATCAGTTCTCGATGAGTTTAATGACTGATTTTTTAGTGGAAAATTGACTTGTATCACTTTTGTTATATATTCAAACAGACTGAACAGTTGATATTTTCTAAAATTATTTCTAAATTCTAAAGTACGTATTATTCTTGGTTTACATATGAGTTTGTATTATTTAAAATTACTTTCCCTTTATTTATTTGTTTAAAAGGTATTATTCCAAAATACTTATGCATGACATTATTGTAAATACTAGTCAATGTCAACACCAGCACCGTAGTCACTACGCTGGTCAAATATGGTCGGTCACTACACTGAGGTTACATTTTTTATGCATCACTTTTACTTGATTAATACATTTGTCTTTATTTGTTATTTAAACCAGTGGAAGTGGACCAGCATACATATATTTGGCCATAGAGGCATTGGCTGATGGAGGGGTGGCTGCTGGTCTTCCTCGAGACCTTGCACTTGGTCTTGCTACTCAAACTGTATGTTCATTGTCATTGTACTCTATTTTTTTTCCATATCACAAACATTTTTGTGATGTTTATTCTAATTTAAGACAAAAATGTGAAATTTGGTGGCAGGTACTGGGGGCTGCAACTATGGTGGCCAGTGGAGGAAAGCACCCAGGTCAACTTAAAGATGAGGTAGCCTCAGCAGGTGGCACCACCATTGCCGGGATTCATGAGCTGGAAAAGGCTGGGTTTCGCGGGGTATTGATGAATGCTGTTTTAGCTGCAACTAAGCGCAGTCGAGACCTTTCCCAGAACTAGTTAACAGTTTTCCCGTCAGCTCTAGATTATTTGTTCTACAAAGTCAGAAAGCAGCTGTTCTCTTTCTCTTTTTATTTATTTATTCATTTTTTATTGATAAACTGATGCCACTTGAGTCTACAATAGACAATTACTCTCTGTTTTATGCATCATTCTTGTTCCCACTAAGCTAATTGTCTTTTGGGGGTTTACCCAGAAGATCAGAATACATTGTCAATTATGGGCTAAGAATTTAGTGTCACTGAGGGAAAAAGAATCACGCTTCACGCAAAATAATAAAAAACTGATCTTGGGGATGGAAGTATGGAAGGGATCAGATGCATGGTATTAAGAATAACATGTAAAATTATGTTCCAATCATTGGAACTCTTGAAAATAAACCAATTGACATTGGAATTGTTACATATACAAGTAATACAACAATATCAAGCCGAGGTATAACTTTAAAAAAAGACTTATTCTTTGTCCTTTAACAAATTGTTGACCATCTTGACCAAAGGCAAAGTGCCCTTGCCCATTATCTCTAGCCTAGAAGCATTAGAGGCATTTGAGAATAGTGAGAGCCCAAAGAACATGAGCTCTGGAAGAAACAGCCGTGAAGACAGGAACCCGTGCCAATAACGAGGCTCCAGATCAAAAAACGCTTCGAAAAATCTTCTAGTACCTGGCAAATCTAACTTCAACAGAACGTCCATTCCAAAACAAAAGAACTCCCTCTGCTGCCTCCTCTCTTTAGGCCACAAATCTCTCCAAACACACTCAGACAATTCCTCACCTACAAGGCTTTTGCTTCTCCTGTCATTGCCAAGGTATTGAATAATTGAATCGGCAAGGATTGGGGCGGCTGCCAGTGTCCTTGCCACCATATACCCTGTCGAGGGATGAACCATCCCTGCAGTCCCACCAATCCCAATGACTCTTTGGGGCATCACCGGTAGGGGTCCACCCATTGGAATCACGCAACGCTCATCTTCTTCAATCCTCTTCACCTTGATCCCTAAGTGCCTCAAACGGATTGCCATCCTCTCCTGGATGTCCTTCATATCTAAACCGGGACGGGCCACAAGTGACGTTTCTTCAAGGAATATCCTATCTGAAGAGAACGGCATTGCATATAGAAAGGTTGGAAGCTTTCTGTTTCTCTCCTTTAGCTCCGAGTTATTTAGATGAGAGTCGCGCCAATCCATGAAAACCATCTTGTTAATATCAAATGGGTGTTTCTCTACCTCTGCCAGAATTCCATACGCGACTTGGTACCCTGGATTATAAGGCTTATCATACCCAACTAGAGATCTGGAAAAACCGGTTGCATCAAGAACTAAGGTTGCTTGGATGGTAACACCGTCATTGCAAATCAAGAAAGACTTTGATTCTTCATGTATGACACTCATAACCTTGGCTTGATGAAATTTAACGCCATTAAGGATGCATTTCTGCATCATTTTTGACTTGAGCTTCTTCCTGTTGACCCGCCCATAAGGTCTCCCGAGGTCTTTGGTTGTGTGGTCATCTATATAGACAGCAGCACCAGACCAGGTGGAATCCAGGCAATCCAGCAGATCCATGGCCTCAAATTCATCAACCCAAACCCCATAATTGTTGGGCCAGATCATTTTGGGAGAAGGGTCAATCGAACAAACCGATAGCCCCGCTTCCGAGACTTTCTGAGCAACAGCAAGCCCGGCCGGGCCACCACCAACCACCGCTAGATCCACTACAGTTCCCCTGGAAGGGTCATATATAGGAAGCTCGAAATCAAGATTTTCTATCTTGGTGGCAGGTACAAGGTCCAATAGGGAACTAGTACTGCTGGCCTTAACCAGACCGAAACTCCGGGATGTCTTCTTCCACGATCCAACCCGAATTTCCTGCGTCTGAGGCTTAAAGGAAGCTGCTTTAACCCGAAATTCATGATGCGGGTGAAGAAATTCAAGCTCATTTGGTGTTCTTAGCAAAGTATCCATTACCTGCCAACGAAATCCCAATCGGGTTTAACAATTCTTGATTTCAAGAATTCACTGATACGAGATAAGACAGTATCCAGACAGAGGCAGACAGATAGAAGGGGATAATAGGTCTATGAATAGATAAAATTTAGGTATGGGCAAATTTTCAAAAAATTTGGCATAACCTAAACATGATGAGAAAATTGAAGGACGTTAGGAAGTGTTGCAGGCTTACCATGTAGCTGAAAGTGAATGAACAAAGAGTAGCATGCGGTGAGGAGGAGAGCTTCGTGGTGGGAGGAAGAACTCACATGCTCCTGAGATAGCGGTTCATTTTAGGTTGCGTTTGTGTAAAGTTGTGACCGGTATAAAGTTGGAAGTGATGTTTTTAACGACGTACGAAATTGTTCTGGCTTCTCTAAGCCCTCTTAAAGAAAAGGAAAGGGAAAAGAGCAAATAAGGTCACATACTAACAAAAAAAAGGTCAAATAAAGTCTTATTTAAGAGGTTCTGCTCGACTGTCACTATTTGGGGTGGTTATTGGTAGAATTTTTTGATGAAATTTTTTGAGCATCTTATTCATTAAGTCTAGTTTACGCTAAATTTCAGCTAAAACTTCAATCGAGAAGGCATTCAAATGAATTCTTGAAGATAACTGCGAAGTTAAAAGCGTAGTTATCTTCAAGAATTCATTTGAACGCCTTCCCGATTGAATTGTTAGCTGAAATTTGGTATGAGTAAACTAGAATTAATGAATAAGATGCTAAAAAAATTTCATTAAAAAATTCCACCGGGAACCACCCCAAATGGCAACGGCCGGACAAAGCCTCCTAAATAAGGCTTTATTTGACCTTTTTTTATTAGTACCTGACCTTATTTGCCCCTTTTCTCAAAAGGAAATGACTGGAATATGAACATTTGGAGTGACTATGGAAATGCACTAGAGGAGATCAAGTTAAAATAATAGACGTGTTGAATAAAAAACTAAGTTGAGTCTCTCATGTAATACGGAGTATATGTGAATGTCCAACTATTTGGCCCGTATATATCGTAAGAGGATCTTCAAATGTGCACGGTACACATGTGATATGAGAAATAACCACATTAATTTGAACAAATAAATTATCTTTCTCCTTATTTGGATGATTTTATATGATTTTGGCAATTTTTTTTTGCAATGTCAACATTTAGACGGTTTCATTGACATTGTGGAGAAAAATTTACCAAAATTATATAAAACCATTCAAATAAGGAGAAAAATAATTTATTTGCTAATATTTGTGTGCCTATATCTCATGCCACATGTGAACCGTGCACATTCTAACATTAAAGATGCTCCAAGAAATCAGTCTATCTTAAATGTAACCTTACATTGTTATTCCTTGTATATATACCTCATTTGTATAATGAAAGAATGAAAGAATCTTGATTCTCAACACAATCACATTATTTTCTTTTGGATAAAGGGGGCTTAGATTATAATCATAGCATTCAGATAGGGATTAAAATAACAAAAGAACCGCAAGTAACCATCCGTCCCTGGGCTAGACTCTGAGTTATTCACCTTTGATAAAGCAATATAACTCGCTGATCCTAAAATGGACATAATTGAGCCAATGACGATTACCGTAGAACTCTCATCATCCAATCCTAATGCAAAAGTCTTACAGAACCAAATAAAGTAAAAGCCAAAAACAACAATATTAACGTGGAAATTAAAATGCAAAACAGTAGTAAGTTATTCATAGAACACACTCCTATTTTTTTTAAAGTGCGAGTTATTCAAAGTAGTAAGTTATTTAATAGATGGATGTAATATAATTGTCACCCTAAATTTATTTATGGAAATTAATTAAGAAAAGTAATATATGATATTGATTAAGTTAGAAAACTTATATTCGCGTAGATCATGAAAAATAGTTTTTTTTTTTATCATCAAAACATGCCTCTATTCATATCAAAAGATCCAGGATCATTACATCAAGCAATGGGAAAATAAAACTGACACCAACTGAAACTCCAACAACTACGACTGTAACCCTATGGTGAGACTTTGAGATGGTCACCCCTGAAAGGGCAACACGAATCGCTAACCATGTAGTGGACTTGACACAACCAAACAAGTTCCCATAGATCCAACCATACCCAATGACATAAAGAGAAGCTAAAAACCCAAACAAATTGTCAAAAACCAACAAAGATGAATACAAGAAAACAAATGAGAAACAGAACAAAATTAGGAAAACTTTCACGGACTCTAGCACCTCGTACAACCCATGGTGGTGGTTCAGACGGAGGTCGGACCGTCGCTCGATTGATACCCTCTTTCAGTGGCGTACCCGCCGTATGACCCAAATCCATGCCATCGAATGGAGCGTTCAGCCTCTCCACGCTAACCATGTCCTGATCATCCCTACGTCTCTCTCGCTTCTTCCACCATCTTCTCGCTGCCACGATTATCCATCCCAAGCTACGTCCAAACCACGGCAATCCGGCGCAGTGCTGCGTCGATTGAAAGAAACGCCGCATTAGGGCGGCGAAGTAAAAACCCTACGCGAGAGATCTCGAGGGAAACACTGACCGAATTTCGATCAAGAAAGATTGAAATCGGAAATAACCTAGCGGCGGCTCTTCCCCAGGAGCTCTCTGCAGAGTTCTTAGGGTAGAAAAATAGTACGAAAAAGAAGAAAAAAAATGTGAAAAATGTAGAAAGGGGAAGATAAGGGAAAAGTAAGAAAAAGAAAAATTATTGGGTAAAATTTCATTGAGAAAAAGAAAAATGACAAATACAAAGGAACATGGGAAGTATTAAGATTTTTTCTTTTGGACTGAAATTTTCTGGTCTGGTCTGGACTGATCTGATCAGGTCTGGTCTTGTCTCTGTGTATTTTATAACTACGGAAGTCTGATCTGGTCCGGTACATGTCTGGTCGCTGTATATTTTATAACTACGAAAGTCTGATCTGGTCTGATCTGGTCTCGTATGGGACTGAAAACAGTTCAAAAAAAACATCCTTAAGAAACACCTTTTAAAAACAATAATGAAATACGAAGTATAAAAGATAAGTTAACTAATTATTTGACATAGGGGCTGAATGATTAAAAACTATCAATCAAAGATCTAAAATATAATCCGTAGTGTATTTTATTTTCTCGAGTTTTTTTTATTTATATTATTGCTAATGTTTTATTATTTTCTACACAAAAGTTTATTAATCTAACAAAATTAAATAATATTCAAAATATTTAAAAAATGAAAAACTGGAATTCATGAAATTTTAAGTCTTATATTATTGATATTTTCAATTACTCATCAGACCCTAGTTTAAGACTTTAAGTCCTTAATTGATAAATTTCAAATAATAAAAGTAAACCCTATGTTGGGTTATAGAATAGACATATCATATACTCCGTATTTGCTAAAACAAAAATTAGGTCAGAGCACACAAATGCAAAAAGCTACAAAATTAGCAAGTAAATATAAGAACAAAAACATGCCCGCTTGAGAAATTGGGTTGCGTGCTTCTCCGTTTACATGTTTTTGCAAAACCGTGTGAATTAAGCAACTCCATTTCTGCAATTCTACTTCCGGAAGCACGCATAGTGCATAAATACGTGTACATGATTGGATTTAGGTTCTGATTTGATCATTTGAAAGTACAACTAATTAACTCTCTCTATACACAAATTAAATGTATGATGTACATAATGCTTTATGTGATTATTCTGTTCATATGATCAACTTTTGATATACTTGAGACTTTTTTTACCCATTTTTTGTCACAACTAGATGACTGATTTTTGGGGCGGATGACTAGCTTTCATGACTAGCTATCAAGTTTAGATGGATAGGGTATCCTTAGTTGGATGCTTGCAATTTTGCATTTTGATGTACAACAACACTTTTGTATGGTTCTATATATATTTACATTTCATCCATAAAAACGAATTAGGATGAATTTTGTTGAAAAAATTATATTTTAAATATATTTTATTAAAAACTAAAACATTGTAGGATAATAATTTAAAAACTGTTCTTTAACAAATTCATTCAAATTAGTCAGAAAAATAATTTTAGGATCAACTAATTTGACCATTGTAGAATGATTGAAATCAAAAGTAAATGTTTAATTGTTCTTAACTACATTAGAGAAGCCAAAAAAAATGGATTACCCAAGTGGCTATAGTGTATGGAAGACGCTAGATGTGCTCACTGAATTACAAAAAGTCAAAAACTATAGATGGCACCGAAACACATTTAACGACGGCTCATAGAAAAGTTTAAGACACATTGATAATTCAGAGGGTGTTTGGTTATTTATCAATCATTTTTTGGCTGATTTGACCACTATTTAGCTTTTTAACCAGATAATCAGCTAATCAGAGTGTTTGGTTAAAATAACTTTTACATTTGTCTTTTGGTCTCAAACAGCCAAAATATGAAAAGTCAATAATCCTGGCTTTTATGATCGGCTATTTTGTATATTCCCATGCTGCCCCCTTTCTTTTTCCTAGACATGTGCTCCTAGTTGTCGCCCAAGAAAAAAAATTAAAAAATCGGTCTAATTTTAGTTGTGCTCCTAGTTTTGTACTACGTTTAATTTTAGTTTTTTACTAATAACTCCAATTATTTTTTACATTTTACTACGTAGGAAATAGTTCTTTTTTTAACTTTTCGTATATTCCTTCAATCCTTCTATTTCTATTGTAAATTCACTAAAAATAAAAACAATAAAAATAGTTCCTAGTTTCTACTTTTTGTACGGAGTAATATACTATGTATAATAATAAAATGAAAGACTAAAGGGTCAAATAGACCCTCGAACTAACTTAAAAAGTGCAATTCACCCCTTATATAGGAGGCTCTGGCCGGCCATCGTCCATTGGGGCGGTTCCCGGTGGAACTTTTTGATGAATTTTTTTGAGCATCTTCTTCATTAAATCTAGTTTACCTATACCAAATTTCAGCTAAAAAATCTACTAGGAAGGCAGTCAAATGATTTTCTGAAATGTAATGCACTATTTAACTGCGCAGTTATCTTCAAAAATTCATTTGACTGCCTTCCCGATTGAAATTTTAGCTGAAATTAGGTATGAGTAAACTAGACTTAATGAAGAAGATTCTCAAAAAATTTCATCAAAAAATTCCCCCGTGAACCGCCCCAATTGGTGACGGCCAGACAGAGCCTCCTATATAAGGGGTGAATTGCACTTTTTAAATTAGTTCGAGGGCCTATTTGACCCTTTAGCTCAAATGAAATGAGCAAAGTATTTTGATTGAAATGATCTTACATCATGCATACATTTTTCACAAAATGAATTCATTATCGACCTATGTGTTTGGTTATAAACTTATAAAGGTTCTTACAAAATTAAAGAGTGACTACATGTGTATTAGTATTAATTTTTTGGTACTACGTTTAATCTTATTTTTTACTAGCTAATAACTCCAATTATTAATCAAAGTATCATGTTGGCATTTCCCTAAGAAAATCAAAGCATTATGATACTAATTAAATCAATTAATTCGTGAAAAAAAGTTAAAAAAATTATTAATTGAACTGTCAATACATTTTATTTTTTATCATTAAAATGGTTTAGGTAGTTATTAGTTATTAATTATGTTAATAAAAAATAATTCATCTCCTTAAAAGTCATTTAACAAGTTATCAGCTGTTTGTAAACAGTCATGTAATCAAACACTAATTTACAGACAACTACTCTAATAAGCTAATCAAAACATTCAACAGAATCTGATGTTATTAAACAACCAACAGAATCGGCAAACAACCAACAGCCATTTGCCAAACACCCCCAAAACCTCTACCACAATCGAATTATTATAAGGAAATTTCACTACAAAAAAACACGCGCGTAGTCACGGATTTAGTCACGGACAGCAGTTCACATTTTCCGTGACTAACAAAGTTAATCACGGTCGCTAGCCGTGACTAAATCCGTGACTTAATGAGCGTGACTAAAAGCAGTCACCGCCACATAACTGTGACTACATTTAGTCACGGGTTAGTCACGGACAATAGTTATGACTAATAATACGCCGGAAAACCTTCTCCGACGTGTTAGTCACAGTCCGCAGCCGTGACTATTGTATTTTTTTTATATGGAGTAGTATGGTTTTACTTTCTCATATATCATTTATTAGTATTTCACTCATGCATTATTGTACATTTGTACTGAATGTAAAATGATATTATAAATGTCAATTTTTAAATCTAATTAATATCACATACTCGTATATTATATTTTATGAAATGAGTGAGAGTAAGCATTTTACAAATCATTTATAAACAAAAATGTTTTGCGATTTTTTTCTAATTTCATTTGTAATCACATATCATGAACTTCAAGCCAGACGGACTCGTCACCATCGAAACTGCAACATATAACTGCTCATGTCAAAATTGGATGTCGCAGAAAAACACTCACGTTTTCTAATGATTGTCCTTGACTCTTATTCATCGTCATCGCATAGCTAACCATCAAGGGAAATTGCCTACCCATACATGTGAAAGGGAGCCTCACATCTGTTGAGGCTAGACTAATCCTTGAAATAAGAAGCTTCTGAACTTCATTAGTTTCTGACATCATTTGGGCCTCAATAATTTATGCACCAAGTTTTGTCACTAAAAGTGAGATACCATTACATGTGCCAGTCGAGTGATCTATATTCCTCATGAGCATCACTGGTACACCAACTTTTAGCTTCAACTCGTGACTTGACACACCAGAACAATTTATTTTGTTAAGGAACTCATTGTCTGAGGTTGAGAAACACACTGAATCTAAATTGAAATAGGTCGTTTCCTCTGAGCTGTTCTGCAACAACATGAAATCATTGACCTTATCTACCTCATCAATTGTAGGTGCAAGAATTGCTCTCCCTTCAAGATATGAGATGTTGTTCATGTGTTTAAAAAAATCTAGATAGGTAGTGGTGGGAATGGATTCAATCGGATCAGACGTCACCAGAACATAGAAATTTTGCGGTACATCAATTTCTGCTTCTCCATCATTGCTCTCTCCCAAAACATCACCACCAATTTGCAGTATCCAATCAGCAAAAAGTTTCAAAATACTTGATTGGCCGACTCAATTGTGAAGTTTTTGAGTCTCATGTTTTTATTAACTTCAACACTGTATAATACTGCCACAAATATGATGCATTCAAAGATGCATGAACAATACAGGCAACAGTACTTGTCTAAAGTCGTCACAAAAAACAACTGTTTTTCCACCAAAAAACAAATTTGCATTGCAATCATATGAGTATGAAAGTGTATCTCTCTTATACTTCTATCTAGAGCTTCAAAATAATACATGTTGAAATTTATATCAAAAGGCAAGGATAATACATTAGATTTATAGTATTGAAACCGTTTAAATGCATTAGTTATGACGATTAAATAAAAACTCTTAAAATATGTAGTTACAACAATGTAGTGTCACGATAACTAAAATGTAAAAATTGAATAGAAGTTAATCTGACTAAAGTGTCTATTGTAGTCATAAGAATTAAGAGTTCATTTTTTGCAAAAAAAAAAACTTTATTTGAATCATAAATATGTAAATACACATATTTATGACATTTTTTGTAAAAGACCTATAAATACACCACGATCGATAACGTTTTGACATTGGTTACTACTAAAAATAATCAATGAACTCACAGTTAATCATTGATGGTTTAACAAGCAAGTAACTTCGAGTTAATATTGCATGGTTAGTAATCTTAAGAGAGATTAATTTTGTTTGTTAAATTGAAACTATTGTGTTGAAGTTATCAATCTTAATTGATATCATCAAGGAGTTGAGAGGTTAAATGCTACTATCAAGTCGGTATATGACAATGTTCTATACTTGGCTCATAATAAGAGTTGTTAATGAGCGGACTCATTATCAATAACTACCGTTGATGAATTGGAGACACTTCATTATTGAGTATTCGAGAAGGGACAAGTTAAAGATATAATCGCGATAAATAAACATTTCAACAAGTTGAAAGTAACAAAACCTAGTCTTTTTTTCATTGATTTAAATCACATCTCTTTCATCTTAGTATTTAAATATTCTCAAGTCAAAAAAACTTAATCCCCCCCCCCCTCTTTTGTTACAATTTCACAAAGAAGAACTATATTTCCATGTGGATACGAACCTTATTACACTATACTATGGTATTAGTGTGAGTATTGACTTTAATTTAAGGCACACAATGACTGGAGTGTCATCAAATTTGGCGCTGTTGTCGGAGAAAAGCAACAATTTCTATTTAGTGAAAAAAACCTCTTTTCTTTACTGAGTTTAAAAGAGTATATGGTGATAACCCGTCCCATAAACGAAACCACCTGCCAAATGGTTAGAAACTAAAATAGAATAATACTTCGAGAGATTGAGAAATAAAATTTCAAATACCACCCAGATGAATCATCAAGCTCTAGCTTTAGCAAATCTGAAAAATCCATCCATATGGTGCTTGAGACAACCTCTATATATCACTTTCCCTACTCTTGATGAAGGTGCTACATTTGAGCTTAAATTGGGGTTGCTCGATTTACTTCTCTCATTCCATAAGTTAAAAGGAGAGGATCTAAACAAACGTCTTTCGAAGTTCATACAGTTTGCACTAGTATAAAATTGAATGGTGTTACAGAAAAACAAATCAAGTTGAGAGCCTTCCCATTCTCCCTCAAGGATACAAAAAAAGATTGTCTATTCTATCTTCTTTTGGGAAGCATAGAAACTTGGGTGGTCATGAAAAAAATGCTTCCTCGAAAGGCACTACATCGCCTCCATCTCCTCTTGTCTTAAAAAAGAAATCAACGACATTTAGCAAAAGGATGATGAATCGTTATATGAATATTGGGAATAGTTCAAAAAGTTACGTGCTAGCTGCCTTTACCATGGGTAAACAGAGCAAAATCTCATCTTATACTTCTATGATGGTATTGCTGATCAAGATAAGCGCATGGTGTGCAACATATGGGGGAGGGATTGTCAACAAAACCCTTCACAATCAAGGAGTCTAATCTCGGAGTAGGCCAATAATTCTAGATATTACAACGGGTGATTCTCAACCCGCAAAGTTGCTGTAGCACAATCAAATACATCATTGGAGAGTCAAGTTGCCGACTTGACTTCTTTGGTGAAGGAGTTCCTACTAAACTCCAAAACTCGGGAAGTCAAGGTCTACGGTATATGCACGTCACAAAGACATCCAACTGACTCTTGCCCAACACTTATAGAGGAAGGTCTCGAACAAGTCAACGCCATAGGATTTAATGGTTAAGCACCGCAAAAGAGGTAAGATCATTTCTCAAACACTTCCCATACGAGATAGAGTGATCATCCATATTTGAGATATACAAACCCTCAAAAACCCAACTCTTCCTTTGAACAATATAAACAACCGTCTTTCAACACACAAGGCTCACTCTCAATCTAGTATGTCCACTGACTACATGATCTGAGCCTTGTATCAAATGTCACGCCCCAGACCGCAATCCAAGCGCGTGTACAACCGCCGTATAATCAAGTGACGTCACCCGCGAGTCAACCTCACTTGATTACACAAGGCGTTCGAGAGAAATAATCCATCCATACTCAGCAGTAAACATACATAACAACATCACATTTAAACCAATGAATAGCGGAAGTATTCAACGGTAGTCATAAGCCACAACCGGCCAATAACATGGGCATGCAAGCCCCAAAAGAATAGTTTATGACAAATAAAAATATCCATGAGCAGTGTTTGGTAATTTGAAATGAAATGAGGAAGCACGAACCACGTCTTCCTTGATTTGATGTCACCCGTAGAAAGGTGCAGGTAGCAAGCCCTAGCTTCAACCTGAAAATGGTGGGGCCCCCCGAAGGGGTCAGTACAAGTACCGAGCGAGTAGCAGGCTAAATATAGAATAACTAGCGTTTCAAGTATAAGACCCAAACATAGGATGATACATATACGTATAGTCTTTCCCCCAAGTTTGAAATACATATTAGTATACATACACTTGGAAATACCCGACCCGTAGGTCATTGTTTATTTGGGAAAATAATAGTAGCCAATATCCTTGACTTAAATCCCAACCCACCCATATACCTATGAGTGTATAGAACTCCTCCTTGTTCAAATAAATTATCATGAGGACACCGCCCGGTCCTAGATCATTAAATGTAATCTATGAGTTTTGAGGATACACGCCCGATCCTTGGGTACTCCACCCTATAATTGAGTTTTGAGGATAACCGCCCGATCCTTGGGTACTCCACCCTATATAACCGAGTTTTGAGGATAACCGCCCGATCCTTGGGTACTCCACCCTATATAACCGAGTTTTGAGGATAACCGCCCGATCCTTGGGTACTCCACCCTATATAACCGAGTTTTGAGGATAACCGCCCGATCCTTGGGTACTCCACCCTATATAACCGAGTTTTGAGGATAACCGCCCGATCCTTGGGTACTCCACCCTATATAACCGAGTTTTGAGGATAACCGCCCGATCCTTGGGTACTCCACCCTATATAACCGAGTTTTGAGGATAACCGCCCGATCCTTGGGTACTCCACCCGACCTATGACTTACCACATATCACACTAGATAGGGTCTATATCATATTTAGCCATTCATAACTAATTCAATACATAAAACTTATGTATCACATTCCATGCAAAGCCATGCAATTATGTAAATGCACAATTAATTAATATCGACCGGTATTAATTAATCCATTATCCACCGGTCAACGTGGTCGTTGACCGCCATTACAAACCTTGTGCAAATCAACTTAATCATCACATAATTAAGTTAAAATATTCATTTGTGCTTCTAATACACTTCAAGCAAATATGCATTCTATATAATTCTTCATATCATATTCTATGCACAAACAATCTATTTCTTTCATACAAACTTAACCCTATTGGCTAATCACATGTTTAAATATCTTTTAAACATCGTGATGAATTCATATAACATTTATTTAGGTAATCTTATAATTAACCCAAAAGTTATAAGATATTAAGCCGTCCACTCACCTTGAACTAGCGTATGAAGTTCTACCCCTCTTGGTTGAACTCCGGTGAAACTCCGGCGACTTTCGGTCAACTCCGGCGACAACTCCGGCGACTTTTCCAACTTTGTGAAATCACTTGAAATACCTTTCACAAGTTCCTAACAAGGTTTTATAATCATAAAACCCATATTAATACAAATAACCTCAAAAAGGTTATTTTCCGGTGAACCGGTCGTTTTGGCTTCTAAGTCCGTTCTTGGATATGGAATCACTTTCCAACCCATTAATCCATACTTATAACATGTAGAACCCTCTTAAGGATCCTTCACATGATATATATCTCATATGGTAGGAGAATAATAAAGAAAAAGTTATAATAAGGTCATTACCTTAATTCTACACACCTTTCTTAGCCTTTTTCCTTCTTTAAACTCCCTCTTTTTCCTTGTTTGAGTTTGAGCTCGTGTTCACCTATGGAAAATGGAGTTGCAGAGCTTCCTCTCTCTTCTCCTTTGGGTCTTGGCCGAGTGTGATAGGGGTGGGTGAGTGAGGGGTGTGGTTTTTGTCTCCTTTGGACAAATGAGTGTAGGAATGGGGTCTACTAAATGTCAAAGGGTGTCTCCCCCATCCTATCAATGTTTATTCAGCCCATCTAGCACTCATCCAGCCCCTAAAGGTTGACAAATTCGTGGGGTGGCCCCCACTCATGTGGGAGGTCATCCCTTTGTGTCCCGATGTGTACAATCGGTCCCGAAAGTTGTATTTTTCGGACTGTTTTAAACATATTTTATTCTATCGGGTCAAATAAAATATATTATGGGCTCTTACTCATTATGACATGTATCATGAATATACATTCCCCAACTTTAATTTATAAGTCTCCGAAATCCAGTTCGGCTGTTATCTGTTAAATTACCAGTACCGGTAATTTGGGCTTCTTTTGACCAATCGGTCAACTCCGGGCCTTTCCACGACCCAAATAAAATATCCACCACTATATAAATATTATCTTGACCAAGATGAATAAAATATGTGGTCTCGGGAGTATCGGGCGGCCCCCGCTCCCGGTGTGGGTCCCACGTGCAATTTACTATTCACGCGAAAGAAATAATAAAAATTTACAACTTCGTAAATTCATTAATCCCTTTAATAAGGTTCAATACATTATTTACATAAAAGTAAATATATTTGGGGACGGTGTTACAAGTTCACCCCCCCTTATTTGGGATTTCGTCCCCGAAATCCGTGTGTCTAATCGAAAAGAAACGGGTATTGCTCCCTCATTGAGACCTCGGTCTCCCATGTTTCTTCTTCGACCCGATCACTCCTCCAAAGAACCTTTACCATAGGAATCTCCTTATTCCTAAGTTTCTTCACTTGTTGACCCACTATCTTCACCGGCTCTACCGCATATTGCAAATCCTCACGGATCTCTACTGGCGGTTTCTCAAGAATATGAGAGGGATCCCGTATGTACTTCTTGAGCATTGATACATGAAACACATCATGTATCTTCTCAAGTTCCGGCGTTAACTTGAGACGATAAGCCACGGCTCCAATCCTTTCAAGGACCTCAAATGGACCAATGTATCGGGGGTTAAGCTTTCCCCTCGATACAAATCGAATGATGCCCTTCCAAGGAGAAATCCTTAGGAAGACCTCATCACCGACTTCGAACTCCAACGGTCTCCGCCGTTTATCAGCATAACTCTTCTGTCGGTCCTGAGCAGCCTTCAATCTATCCCGAATGATCCTTACCTTGGCCTTGGTAATCTCAACCAGCTCTATCCCTTCGAGTTTGGCCTCGCCAACCTCGTCCCAACACAACGGTGTTCTGCACTTCCTCCCATACAATGCCTCATATGGGGGCATGCCGATACTTGCCTGATAACTGTTATTATAGGCAAACTCCACTAGGGCCAAATGCTTGTCCCAACTTCCTTGGAACTCCAAAGCACATGCCCTAAGCATGTCTTCCAAAATCTGTATCACCCGCTCGGACTGTCCATCGGTCTGTGGGTGAAAAGCTGTGCTAAATTTCAGTTTAGTCCCCAAAGATGCTTGAAACTTTGGCCAAAATCGGGATGTGAATCGTGGATCCCTATCCGAGACAATGGATATCGGGACTCCATGTAATCTCACAATCTCCTCCGTGTAAAGCTTGGCCAATCTTTCAAGAGGATAAGTAATGTTGATAGGCAAAAAGTGTGCACTCTTGGTGAGCCTATCAACCACTACCCAAACTGCATCATAGTTGTTCACTGTTCGTGGTAGCCCCACCACGAAGTCCATGGTCACGTGCTCCCACTTCCACTCTGGGATGGTGAGTGGCTGCAAAAGCCCTGCCGGGTGCTGATGCTCTGCCTTGACTTGCTGGCAAGTAAGGCACCGACTCACATATTCAGCAATGTCCCTCTTCATACCTGGCCACCAGTAACTTTCCTTCAAATCTCGGTACATCTTAGTACCTCCCGGATGCATAGCATAAGCTGAAGAATGAGCCTCCTCAAGTATAGATTTCTGGAGTTCCTCATTCCTTGGTATGCACACACGATCCTTAAACAATAACAGACCGTCATCACGTACCCGGAAGTTCTCAACGGGCCCCGCAAGGATCCTTTCACGGATCTTCTGACATTCCTCATCCATGGCCTGACTTCGACTAATCTCGCCCAATAGGGTGGGCCTAACCTCAAATTGAGCAATGAGAGCCCCGCACGTGGACACCTCCACGCGTGCCCTCAATGCCTGCAGACAAGTAAGTAACGTCCCTGACGTACTCTTCCTGCTCAGTGCGTCGGCCACTACGTTGGCCTTTCCGGGATGATAGTCGATGATCAAGTCATAGTCCTTGATCAACTCCATCCATCTCCTCTGCCTCATATTCAACTCTTTCTGAGTGAATACATACTTCAAGCTCTTATGATCAGTATAAATGTGACACGTCTCCCCGTAGAGATAATGCCTCCAAATCTTCAATGCAAACACCACCGCCCCCAACTCTAGATCGTGAGTAGGGTAGTTCACCTCGTGTTTCCTCAATTGCCTAGAAGCGTAGGCAATCACCTTACCGTTTTGCATTAGTACACATCCAAGCCCTTGGATGCTAGCATCGCTGTAAATGTCATACCCTATCCCCTGTATGGGTAGGGCAAGGACTGGTGCTTCGGTAAGTCGTTTCTTCAATTCAAGGAACCCCTTCTCACACTTGTCGTCCCATATGAACTTGGCCCCTTTCTTTGTGAGCTTCGTTAATGGGGACGCCAATACGGAGAATTTTTCCACAAATTTACGATAGTATCCCGCTAAGCCAAGGAAACTACGTATCTCTTTCACATTCTTGGGTCTCTCCCAATCCATGATAGCTTTTATCTTGGCGTTATCCACAGCAACGCCCGAACCAGATATGACATGACCGAGGAAACCAATCTCCTTGAGCCAAAATTCGCATTTAGAGAACTTGGCAAAGAGTTGCTTTTCCCTTAGCCGATCAAGTATAAGCCCCAAATGATGTTCGTGCTCCTCCTCGCTCTTGGAGTATATTAAGATATCATCAATGAATACTATCACAAATTGATCTAAGTATTCACTAAACACACGGTTCATCAAGTCCATGAATGCCGCCGGTGCATTGGTTAAACCAAATGACATCACAAGAAACTCGTAGTGACCATATCTAGTGCGAAATGCGCTCTTAGGTATGTCACTCTCCTTGATCTTCAACTGATGATACCCCGACCTCAAGTCAATCTTCGAGAATACTATGGCCCCTCGAAGTTGATCAAACAAGTCATCAATCCTAGGTAATGGATACCTGTTCTTGACCGTGACCTTGTTCAGCTGTCGGTAGTCGATACACATTCTTAGCGTACCATCTTTCTTCTTTACGAAGAGTACGGGTGCTCCCCACGGTGAATGACTGGGTCTGATGAACCCGTTGTCCAGTAATTCTTGTAGTTGGACCTTCAACTCTTGGAGTTCGGCCGGCGCCATTCGATAAGGAGGAATCGAAATGGGTTTGGTTCCCGGCTCCACTTCAATTACAAACTCTATCTCTCTATCGGGTGGAAGCCCCGGTAGGTCTTTGGGAAAGACATCCGGGTATTTGCACACGACCCGTACATCCTTGATGTCGACTTCCTTCTTGGTATCGTCCACCACGTAGGCAAGGTATGCGTGGCATCCCTTCCTCATCATCTTCTGTGCTCTCATCACGGATATTATACAAGCATTAGATTTCCCCCGATCTCCCTTGAAACATAGCGTGTTTCCTTGATCATCCTCGAGCTCTAACACCTTGGTGTAGCAATCTACTCGAGCATGGTGTTTCTCGAGCCAATCCATTCCTAGGATTGCATCGAACTCCAACATGCTTAGAGGTACGAAATCACAAGTCAAAGGTTGACCCGTCACTTCTACCTCGCATGACGGATAGTAATGATTTCTCTCCACGTCGTCTCCTAACGGTGTGGAGACTAGCAATGTTTGCGTCATAGGTGTCAATGGCACGTCAAGGCCCTCGGCGAACGCCTCACTCACAAATGAGCGTTGTGCCCCGGTATCGATGAGGATCCTCGCACACCTACCATTGATCTTTAATGTTCCTACATTTATACACCATGTAAGATACATTTTCTAATGTTTTTACACATTTTTAGGAGGTTATTAGGCTCATACTAATGTCTGGAATCAAACGGGGGTCCAAACGTAGAAGAACGGGGCGAAAAAATCAAGTTTCGGGTGCCTGGGGTCCACGCACGGCGTGCCTGGGTGGCACGCACGGTCGTGCGTGCGTGAGAAACTCGGAATCCGCCACTGCCGGCTACGCACGATCGTGCGTAGCTGGTCACGCACGATCGTGCGTCTCACGCACGGCGTGCCTTACCTGCACGCACTGCGTGCGTCTGCGCGGAAAATGGCCAAAGGCTGCTGCCTCGCACGCACGGTCGTGCGTCTGTAGGTACGCGCGACCGCGCGTAGTTGTTTTTAGCCCATTTCGCTCCGAATTCGCGGGGTTTGACCCCGGGGTGGCCCGCACCCAAACCCAATGACTCGTATGACCCAGATAAGCCTAGAAATACATGGGAATACGTGTATTACCTGCAACGGAGTCCGGGTTTGCTCTCGCATCCGCCTCGGTCATCGCGTACACTCGGGCTTGGGTCCCACCTTGGTTGACGGATGCGGCATGACTTGTGGATGCGCCGCCTCTTCCCGTGCCGCCGTTTGACGGTCCCGCACGGTTCCTTCCCGTCATGGTCCCTCCCCCGGCTCCCGAGGCACTCTCTTGCATCAATTGAGGGCAATTGGCCTTCATATGGCCCGCATTCCCGCACTTAAAACACCTCGGTGGTTCATTGCACTTCCCAAAGTGTTGTTTTGAGCAATTGGGACATCTAGGTGGCCCCGAGTTCTGTGGCCTAGGTCCGTGCCACCTCGCATCCCTGTTCTTCTTTGCCGGTGGGGCCGGCGCCTTGAATGAACCACCGCCACCACCACCACCCCCGTGGTTGTTTCTTCGAGAATGATCGGGTGGTCCCGAATTATTCCACTTCCTCTTCTTCGCCTCTTCGGCGTCCCTTGCTTTCCTCTCATTCCACTGGGCCTCTCCAAGAAGACCCTGTTCCACCACCTCGCTAAATGACATGTGGCGAGAGTATGTAGCTCGGTCGCGGATGTCCAAGAGTAATGCATCCCAGAAGTGCTCCGTCATGCGGTTTTCATCAACCGCGTACTCTGGCAAGAACCTCGCCAAGGTTCTAAACTCTTGTTCCAGCTGCTTAACCGTGCCGCCATATTTCTGTTTGAGGTTAGTGTACTCTCTCCGTTTCACATTCACCTCGTACTCGGAGTAGTATTGAGCATAGAACTCTAGCTCAAAGTCCGCCCATGTTATTTCCCCATGGTACTTCCCTTCCACACTCTCCCACCACGTAGAGGCTATCCCTTCAAGTAGCCGTGAAGCGACAGTCAACTTCACGTCCGGTGTGATTTGCATGTCTCTTGATGCATCCTTCACCTTCTTAATCCAATCGGCGGCAACGGTAATGTCACCGGTGCCGTCAAAGGACCTACACCCCAAGGCCCTAGCCTCCTTGAGGTACTTGGAGATTCTCACAACAAAACCTCCTTCACGCCCCCCTTGTGACGCCGCTGGGGTGGCCACGGAAGCTCCCCGGCTCCCTTGACCCGAACCACCACGAGAGCCACGCCTCGCTTGGCGCCTAAGGTCTCTCCTCTGTTTCTCCTTTTGATACCACTCAAGTAATTCACCCATTTGGGCGAAGCGGGCATCACTTTCATCATTGTCCTCATCGGTGTATGTGTCACCCCCATCATATGGGGTCTCCTCATGCTCTGTCTCAGGAACATACGTAGAGTCATAGTCCTCGGTGTTGGTTTCATACACCGAGCTTACATGGCCATCACTCACAGTTTGAGCTTGATGACCTCCACGGCTTCCACGGCCTCCACGGCCTCCTCTTGAACCCCGAGATGCAGCCCGGCTTCCCCTTTGGGATGTTACCGGCGCCTGCCCCCTCGGATTGTTCCTGGTCCGCATTCGCCTGCCCTCCATTTCTGAAAGAAATATGGATGAGTCATTAGACTCCTATAAATGTCAATTGACGGAAGAACGTTACAGACACGTATTGGTCTAAGTCACCACCATACCAATTGTTAAGGGTACCGTCTTAACAATTAGAGGCCTTGCAACTTAGGCTCCAATAGTCCCATAACGTCAAAATCCAATGCTCATGGTTTTCGGTAAAAACTCTTTCATAAAATCTCATGTGAGAGGTTGATTATATAGTTTAGAACTGAGATGGCTCTGATACCACTTAATTGTCACGCCCCAGACCGCAATCCAAGCGCGTGTACAACCGCCGTATAATCAAGTGACGTCACCCGCGAGTCAACCTCACTTGATTACACAAGGCGTTCGAGAGAAATAATCCATCCATACTCAGCAGTAAACATACATAACAACATCACATTTAAACCAATGAATAGCGGAAGTATTCAACGGTAGTCATAAGCCACAACCGGCCAATAACATGGGCATGCAAGCCCCAAAAGAATAGTTTATGACAAATAAAAATATCCATGAGCAGTGTTTGGTAATTTGAAATGAAATGAGGAAGCACGAACCACGTCTTCCTTGATTTGATGTCACCCGTAGAAAGGTGCAGGTAGCAAGCCCTAGCTTCAACCTGAAAATGGTGGGGCCCCCCGAAGGGGTCAGTACAAGTACCGAGCGAGTAGCAGGCTAAATATAGAATAACTAGCGTTTCAAGTATAAGACCCAAACATAGGATGATACATATACGTATAGTCTTTCCCCCAAGTTTGAAATACATATTAGTATACATACACTTGGAAATACCCGACCCGTAGGTCATTGTTTATTTGGGAAAATAATAGTAGCCAATATCCTTGACTTAAATCCCAACCCACCCATATACCTATGAGTGTATAGAACTCCTCCTTGTTCAAATAAATTATCATGAGGACACCGCCCGGTCCTAGATCATTAAATGTAATCTATGAGTTTTGAGGATACACGCCCGATCCTTGGGTACTCCACCCTATAATTGAGTTTTGAGGATAACCGCCCGATCCTTGGGTACTCCACCCTATATAACCGAGTTTTGAGGATAACCGCCCGATCCTTGGGTACTCCACCCTATATAACCGAGTTTTGAGGATAACCGCCCGATCCTTGGGTACTCCACCCTATATAACCGAGTTTTGAGGATAACCGCCCGATCCTTGGGTACTCCACCCTATATAACCGAGTTTTGAGGATAACCGCCCGATCCTTGGGTACTCCACCCTATATAACCGAGTTTTGAGGATAACCGCCCGATCCTTGGGTACTCCACCCTATATAACCGAGTTTTGAGGATAACCGCCCGATCCTTGGGTACTCCACCCGACCTATGACTTACCACATATCACACTAGATAGGGTCTATATCATATTTAGCCATTCATAACTAATTCAATACATAAAACTTATGTATCACATTCCATGCAAAGCCATGCAATTATGTAAATGCACAATTAATTAATATCGACCGGTATTAATTAATCCATTATCCACCGGTCAACGTGGTCGTTGACCGCCATTACAAACCTTGTGCAAATCAACTTAATCATCACATAATTAAGTTAAAATATTCATTTGTGCTTCTAATACACTTCAAGCAAATATGCATTCTATATAATTCTTCATATCATATTCTATGCACAAACAATCTATTTCTTTCATACAAACTTAACCCTATTGGCTAATCACATGTTTAAATATCTTTTAAACATCGTGATGAATTCATATAACATTTATTTAGGTAATCTTATAATTAACCCAAAAGTTATAAGATATTAAGCCGTCCACTCACCTTGAACTAGCGTATGAAGTTCTACCCCTCTTGGTTGAACTCCGGTGAAACTCCGGCGACTTTCGGTCAACTCCGGCGACAACTCCGGCGACTTTTCCAACTTTGTGAAATCACTTGAAATACCTTTCACAAGTTCCTAACAAGGTTTTATAATCATAAAACCCATATTAATACAAATAACCTCAAAAAGGTTATTTTCCGGTGAACCGGTCGTTTTGGCTTCTAAGTCCGTTCTTGGATATGGAATCACTTTCCAACCCATTAATCCATACTTATAACATGTAGAACCCTCTTAAGGATCCTTCACATGATATATATCTCATATGGTAGGAGAATAATAAAGAAAAAGTTATAATAAGGTCATTACCTTAATTCTACACACCTTTCTTAGCCTTTTTCCTTCTTTAAACTCCCTCTTTTTCCTTGTTTGAGTTTGAGCTCGTGTTCACCTATGGAAAATGGAGTTGCAGAGCTTCCTCTCTCTTCTCCTTTGGGTCTTGGCCGAGTGTGATAGGGGTGGGTGAGTGAGGGGTGTGGTTTTTGTCTCCTTTGGACAAATGAGTGTAGGAATGGGGTCTACTAAATGTCAAAGGGTGTCTCCCCCATCCTATCAATGTTTATTCAGCCCATCTAGCACTCATCCAGCCCCTAAAGGTTGACAAATTCGTGGGGTGGCCCCCACTCATGTGGGAGGTCATCCCTTTGTGTCCCGATGTGTACAATCGGTCCCGAAAGTTGTATTTTTCGGACTGTTTTAAACATATTTTATTCTATCGGGTCAAATAAAATATATTATGGGCTCTTACTCATTATGACATGTATCATGAATATACATTCCCCAACTTTAATTTATAAGTCTCCGAAATCCAGTTCGGCTGTTATCTGTTAAATTACCAGTACCGGTAATTTGGGCTTCTTTTGACCAATCGGTCAACTCCGGGCCTTTCCACGACCCAAATAAAATATCCACCACTATATAAATATTATCTTGACCAAGATGAATAAAATATGTGGTCTCGGGAGTATCGGGCGGCCCCCGCTCCCGGTGTGGGTCCCACGTGCAATTTACTATTCACGCGAAAGAAATAATAAAAATTTACAACTTCGTAAATTCATTAATCCCTTTAATAAGGTTCAATACATTATTTACATAAAAGTAAATATATTTGGGGACGGTGTTACATCAAATATGACTACCATGCAACAAACCATGATGCAATTTCAACATGAGATAAAGTCGAGCGTTTAATACCAAGAAACTCAGGTTAGCTAAATTTCAAATGTTGTAAGCCGACTTGAGGCAAACAACTCGGGCAGATTTCTATCTCAAATGGAGCAAAACTCGAGAAAACATGTGAATGCAATCATGCTGAGGAGTGGGACAACATTGAAAGAGTTACAAATGGAACAAGAGAAATCTCAAGAGATGGAAAAGGTTGACCTTGAAGAGACGTTCAATTGGAGGAGAGTCCACAAAGGCCAAGTTTTCGCCATTATCTTCATATGAACAACTACCTCCATTCACTGAAGCGCAAAAGGAAACAAGGAAGCTGGAGAAAGACGTGGTAATCTATTAGATATGCGCAAAGTCTGAGGTAAATATTGCACTCGTTTTGAGCATTGGCCACTGGCGTATTGTGCAAACCCACGCTAAATATTTGCAAAATTTCTGAAAGAAGTGTGCTCCAGAAAAATGTAACCATCAGGGCATGTTTGCTAACCCACGCAAAATAGGAGACACCTTGATTTCTAGGGCCTTGTTAGATTTAGGGGCATCAATCAATGTCATTCCATACTCATTTTACAAGTGCCTAGAACTCAGCCAAATGCATAAAATCGGGGGTAGTAATCCAAATGGTGAATAGGTCTAGCACATACCCGAAGGGTGTTGTAGATGATGTGCTAGCAAAGTTTAAAATTCGTTCTTCCATGTTGATTTTTATGTCCTTGAAATGAAAGTCGATTACTAAGCAACCCTCATCCTTTTGGAAACACATTTCCTAAAAATTGCTCAAACACAAATAGACGTGTCCAGTAGTTCATTAACAATAGAATTTGATGGCGAAACAGTAAAATTCAATATTTTTTATTCTACGAAAAAACAAATTAAAGATCCATCTTTTATTCTTTGAATGTTATTGAACCACAAACATCAAATATTATTGTTTAAAAGGAAGCTAAGAAAATCTAGACTTTTTAAATTGAGCATAGGGAATCACCTTTGAAAGGAGGGGAATTGATGAACCTCTCTTAATGTGAGTTAATATAATTGTAGATTTGGTAAGTCTCCTCATCTGCGCTACCTATTAAATTTAAAATAGAGAAATTAAATTAATAATTAAGAAATATAAAGAAGATATGGCGTATTACTTTTTGAAAAAGATGTGCAGGTATCTAGGATTCTTTTAATAATAGGTGTTCCATATCATAACAATTCCTTCATATGTAAAATATTTAATATTTTAAAATGTAGATTGAAAAGATTTTAAGTTCTTCTATGAAACACAAAATTTTACAGTTAGTAAAAGTATGGTGAGGTAGATTAGGTAAGTCTTTTATCCTGGCGCTGTTTATAAAGCACAAAGGAAAAATAATGATTTCACATACGTATCTCATAGAAATTCTCACACACACGCGCGCACACACACACACACACACACACACACACATATATATATATATATATATATATATATATAAAACTATACTAATGAACTTCTTCCTTATAACAAATTGATGTGCACATATTGGTAAAGACTTTTATTTTAAGTAGAGGCGTGCGGACCATTTTATTTAATTTATATTTTTTTTATGTTAAGTAGAGTCATTAGTTCGAACCATTTTATTTAATTTATTGTACCACAAAACTTGTTCCTTCAATGTTTGATATCATCTTGAATTCTTTTATTTTTTTATCGCCCGAAACCATGCTTATTACATAAATCTGTCCACCAATGTTAGGATTTATGTTCATAGACTTGATTTTGAATAGATATTCTCGTCCCATCAATTCATATATGACTTCCGGGCGCGCAATTAATAGGTCTAAGTGTTGCCTACAAACAGTTAGTTGTTTAGAAATTACATATAAAAGTATATGAATATGAACATATATATGTGAATAAATAATTTAAATATGAAGTACGTAAGTATCGGGTCGAGGTGTTCGTGAAAATCGCCTGCAACCTTTACAAGTAGTAGGCGGGCTTCATCATCCTAGAACATTACTGCATCTGCAAAAGTGTTCCCATGTCTGAGTTTCATTTTCAGTGTATCGGGAGACACCCTCATCTCTACTTCTACTACACTTGCTGCATACTACATCTTACTCATTCTGTTTCCTACAACACTGCACGTCACTACAACCAAAATAAGCCCAATTCCACAAAGAAAATATTATTGTATGTATCACACCATAAAGCCTGCATCCACGAACATGTAATCTTTTATAGTGTTCCAAACTTAGTAACAGTAAATAACATTCAATATATGCTTAAAATATACTCCCTCCGTCCCAAAAAGATTGGCCAATTTGACTTTTCTTGGTCAATGGTGACATAGTTTGACCAACGATATCTTTTAATACAAAATTGATTAAAATATAAAAATTATATTAGCATATTCTTTATTATATAATCTTTCATAAAATTATAAAATTTATAAATTACACATAAATATAATATCTAAAATCATTGTCTAAACTTTAACACTATTGACCAATAAAAGTCAAAAAGGCCAATCTTTTTGGGACGGAGGTAGTATAACAATGTACGACGGTGCGAACTAAGTTTAATTAGTTCACGCTTAAATATTGCATGTTTGGGCATTATACAAATGAAATATATAGTTCCATTAGAGTACTGATTGCATCCTCGAAACATAGATAGCAAATTCAAGACAACGAAAAACACAATTTAAGACGAAAAAGGGATCTAAGAATACCCCAGACATATTTATCCAATATAATTGCAGTACCACAATAATGGGATCATGCGTAAGAGTTTGCATAAAAATAAAAAATTGTGCTGAATAGTCATTCCATAGTGTGCATGTTGTTTTGGTGTTCCTATTTGTTAGTCATGAGATTGTTAATATAATAATAGAGGAATGAGACTTTGTGTGTGTGTAGAAATGAATTTATTTAGCATATTGATATCTTAACTCTAGATTGACCAACTGAAATCGACACCAAGAGTCTCTCCCATCGCTTGGTCTGCTCACGGTTTGATGGGGATTGTACGCACCAAAACATCTGATTTTATTAAGGGAATTGTTATAACATAAGATCATACAAAAAGAAAGGAAAATGTATAAAAACGCACATTTAGATTTTGTTTTAGAAAATTACCAATCAAATCAGGTACTTCAACATATAGGGAATGGATCATATCTTAGTAAGCCGTGAGTTGAAATTATAAATGCTTTTTGCAAATTCAGGATGTTTTTCATTTGTTTGACTTTTTTTTTTTGGAGAACTGCAAACGGAATGTATGGGATGATGGTCTATAATTATGCAAGCATATCACTCTATAAAAATCACTAAAAAGTTGTTTAGGGCCGGGTAGAGTACACTAATTGAGTCAACATGGCTTTTCATTAAATGTAATCTTGTCTGCCTATGCCTGCTAACATTGTTGATTTCATGACTTGATTTTGTGTGGTCAAAGATTTAGTTTGCTTGAGGACAAACAAGTGCTTAAATATAGAGGATTTGATAAGTCCATTTTCCAACACACTTTAATGTGTGGAAGAAAGTCATTTGTACACATTTCTAACTTAACTTTACACTATTATGTTTTAATAATTACGCGGGTCTTAGTTTTTTGGAAGGACATTTATGAGGTTTAAGATGAAAAGTAACTCCAGATGGAATTTGGAGATGAAAAAGGAGAGTAAGATCCCAGAAACGGCTATTTGGACCACTGCCTAACTCTCAACCATGAATCGGGAAGACATTCTGTTAATCTTTTGAACATACATTTTTGTAGACAAATTGAACTGAAACAATTGAAGTTTAATGTGAAAGATAACTGAAAGAGCTACAAATCACCTGAATACACCATGGCGATAATATCAAAGGATCAAGGTGAAACGAGATGAGGATATCAAATAATCGTTGTTGAAACTTCAGAATGACACTTTTCATGATTTCACCTACATCTTTTGATTTAATAATGCAAACCCAATGAATCAATTTGTGTTGGATAGAGGATTTCAATATATACATCTTTAGTGAAGGACGCGTAGTCAAGTATGGAAATTTAAAAAATACACACACGGCCATGCGCACCAAAATTGAGGTTGAAATTGAGTTTTTCCTATTTAAAGGGACTGTAAACATATGTTTTGAGGTTGCAGAGTTTATAGAAAAGCCTATGGCAAGATTTTTATTGTTTTTCAGCCTTTAATATTCAAAATTATGGTATTATTTGTAAGTTCTTTCTTTCGATTAATGAAAAACAATTCGTACTTTCTCAATTATATTGGCAATTCAATTAAGAATTGC